CGTTCTTTTACACGAGCCTCTTCTTCTTCCTTAGACACACATCTCTCTGCACTTCATCTTCTTCTCACCTTTCTCTTCTGATTTCACTTGTACACGATTAAACAAAGAATCAACTTCCAACAAATACCCTTTACCCCTGGGACATCGAAAACGTTCAGGTGCCACACTGTCACCACGTTAAGTCTGTCATAGGAAAAGTTGTTGAATTTGTTACCGAAAAATTAGGGTATGTGGGAATGAGAGATTGCTTTGCAATTGGTGGAAATAAAAAGGCGGTTCCAAAAAAAGGTGCAGAGTGGTTTTATGAGCAGTTGTCGAGATGATAAGCTTGATTGAAAGGTGTGCGAGTGAGAGAGAGTCGGGGATCATTGTGCTGATTTCGTGGAAATTGTCATGGATCTAGTTGGTAGTGGTTTTCTTGTGTTATTGTTGTATCAGACATCGAGTGGTAGTAGTGAATTATACTCTCTATTAATTTCTTCTCAATTCTTATAATACTCAATCACAGATTTACACTTTTTCCGCTCAACCAAAAGAATAATAATTTGTAGACCGAGAAGAAATAGAAAAAAATATTCTCCTATTTGTATGCCATAATGTGTTAAACATTGAAGAAGACATTTGGAAGATTCTTGTCATTATTTTGTTTAGTGATTTTTTCTCGCGTTTGAGGTTTTGAATTTTACCAATGCATTCTTCTATTTTCTTTATTTTTATAGTGTTTGTCCATGTCCATTCTTGTAAATATGTACTAGATGATATCCGTACAGCTCGTATTACATTACAAGATGATTTATTTTTATATAAGTATTATTAAGTTTTATTAAATAATTTATGGTTGTAATGAAATTTAGTTTGGATAGTATATGTCGTATAAAATATATCTCTTTTTAAAGTATTACTAAGTTTTTAAAAAATGGTTGTAATGAATTTTAGTTAGGCTAACAATGTAATATACTAACAATGTAACTAAGTATCTTACATTGTTTTACTAACTAGGATATTACACCGCGGGTTAATTATTTGATTTTTTAATTTTTTATAAATTGAAGAATTTGTTGTGTAATTTACTTTTTGTTGTATACCGCGGATCAGTTTTTTGTAACTAATTTTTAAAATTTTAAGTTGTATTTATTTCTTTAGTATATAAGATTGTATAATTGTATTTGAATGTTAATTGTAGGATTTCACCCGTGGTATACCGTCTCATATTAATATCGACCTAAACTCGTCCCATCATATAAAAAATATTTAATCGCAGTGTACAGCGGGACAAATATGATGATATGGTGCAAATATAACAAATTTGGGCTAATTTTTTTAAATCTATCTACCTAATTTAAACATAAATATAGGATGTTCATTTTATATGACCGGAAGATGTTATTTTGAATTATTATAAAATACATATAGTTAAAAATCCTAATTTTAAATTTTTTATGATTATGTTATTTTGATAAATTATAACATCGTCCGGTCACATAACTTCTCCTACAATAGTATAAATTTTTTATATGAATAATGAAAAGAATAAAACCTGAGAATTGAAAAACAAATGATAAATAGTTTACTCTTATTGTCTTATGGAAGAAAAAAAAGAATAAAACCTGAGAATTGAAAAACTATAATTTATTTCCCTAAATCTTAAAATCCACTTTCCATTTTCTTAATATATCAAATAACTCTCTGCTATGCTTCTATCAAATAACCGGTTAACTATCAAACCTCATGAGACTCGCGTATCTCTTCAAATTCGGCAATGTTTATTTGGACACAGACATGATTGTTTTTTCTTCGTTTGTAATTAACAATGAAACCTTCCACTAAGATTCTTTTTTTCCAATTGAAACCCTAATTAAATCAATTTGTATAAAAATCCCATCAGGATTGTTTGGGTTGATAATAATTAACCAATAAAGATTAGTCCAGGCCCATATAAGTTGTCACGTCATCAATTACAATTACGTTTTTCTTCCCATAGCCCATTTGGTAAAATACGGTTCAAGCTGAAATTGAAACTCGAACCGGACTGTGATGGTGGTTTCCGATGGCGGCGAGCGAGTGAAGCTTAACGTTGGCGGCGAAGTCTTCGAAACCAACGCGTCTACAATTCAGTCATATTGCCCAGACTCTCTTCTTGCGGCTCTATCGACTCCAACCTCCCATGGCTCAAATCCGGTTTTCATCGATCATGACCCGGATACTTTCGCCGTCATTCTCAATCTCCTCCGTACTGGTCGACTCCGAGCTAATTCCTCCGGCGTTTTCTCTAAGCAAGAGCGACACGATGAGGCTATGTATTACGGCGTCGAATCACTCCTCAGATTGGCGATGTTACCGCCGTTGCTGCTAGGTTTTGATATGTATCTGTTTCGATGGAGGCGGTGATAGCGTATAGAGAAGTTGTGAAATAGATGGAGGCTTACCAAGCAATCAGCAAGAGTTTCCAAGCCGATATGGCGATATGGATCTGTTTCGATGGAGGCGGTGATTGCGTCAATAACTTGTGTTAGGAATTCCACCCGCGAACCAAGCCTCACGGTAACAGGTAACAATTGGCTTCTGTTCTCTAATTAGATTATAGATTTCTCGAGTACCTTACATGTCTCTTTTCCAGTTATTTGGCCACCAATCATACTTATCCCGATTTTCTGGGATTTGAAGAGTAGAAAGTAAAGATTGAACCATGACTTGTGATATAAAGAAAGCTAACAATCAGAACAACCATCTTTTTCTTCAAGTCTGTTATATATTTAACCAAATAGTCTTACATATACTGAGACTTACAAATCAATTTTTACATATTGTTGTTGAAATCCTCCATAGATTCAAAGTAAATAAGGAATTTGGTTAAACTAACTCTCATTAGTCATAATCATAAAAGTCAATACACTACTGTAAGTGTAAGTTAAGCACATCCCTGTAAATCTATTTCTAAACAGAATGTTCATGTTTTTCATTCAACAGAAAGAAGAAGTTCAACATCTTGATCACAGTGGAGGGCTCTTACATTATGAAACCTTGGTTTACATCAGGTTAGTTCTTTCAGAATACTTAGTGTTAGGAGAAATATTCACATTGACATATGTTATTGAGAAAAGCAAAATAGAAACTTTGAAAAGTTGTAAACACACAGTTTATTCAATAACCAATTGGAAAAGCTGGAAAATCAAACTTGAAGCAAACACGTAAATCATTGCAAAAACCATAATATTAAAACAACAATAAGTAATCAAAATAAAAGAACATGGATCAAAGCAACTGAAAACCAAATTAAAACTCCAAACCACAGTAGCAATTCACTCTTTTTACTCAATCTTGACTTTAAGACTAAAAACCCTCAACAAGTCTTGTATATTGGCGCCACAAGTGGAACACCTTCAACAGATGATGCAGTCATTGTTGCTGGTAAGGTTTCTGAACTTGTAATATATTGCAATATGGTGATGAGAAAGAATGTGTTTAGAGAGTAGAAAATGAACGACTATTTATAGAGTTTAGATAGTTAGTATGTTATAGGGTTTAGAGAATATTTAAAAATCTTGATGAGCAAGCATTTCGTATAATTCGAAATCTTTTAAGTTGGGAAATACAACTTAAAAGATTGTAATGGTTGTATTACTAAGTTTTTAAAAAATGGTTGTAATGAATTTTAGTTAGGCTAACAATGTAATATACTAACAATGTAACTAAGTATATTACATTGTTTTACTAATAAAGGGGCCCTTTATGGCTCGTACCAAATATAAAAACATTTCTTATTTATTATTTTCTATTTAGATCGGGATGTAATATACAAGCGGGAGGAACATTGTAAAATTGTTTATTTATATAACATATTAAAATTTATTCTCAATGAGAATTTTATTTTCTCAAAACCAAGGGCATTTAATGTAATATTGACAAAATTTAATATTTGTTTTATAAATGTACTTTCAAATAGATTTAATGTCACTCATAGTTTTTAATTAATTTTTTTTTTCTTATGGTCGTGTTATTGTGCCTTCTTCTTTGCTAATGCGATTATATTCAAAGTACATTTTTAAAATATTAGTTCCAAACTTTTAGTTTGAGTATGATTTATTTTAGTTAAAAAAAAAATGATTTATTTTAGTTTTTTTTTTCATATATGTTTTTATTAATATAATTCATAATGATCCTTCTTTTGTAATCCTTTTCAAAGAAATTTGATTTTTCAGTTTGATGTTGCATTTATTGTAGGAAAGTTGTTAAAAATGCCCCTTTTGGTGTGCCCCTTTTCAAAAATGCCCCTTTTAGATGTCCATTTTCAAAAATGCCCCTTTTTAAATCTGAAATTTTTAGAAAGTTTTATTAGGTTTATAAGGTACTTATGGATTGTAACTACTACTTGAAGACTCGATCCAAGTATTTATAAGGTTTTATAAGGTGTTTTTAAAGGTTTTACAAGTTATTTTAAAGGATTTTTAAGGTTTTTCAAAGGGGTTACAAGATATTTTAAAGGTTTTTAAAGGTATTTAAAATATATTTATAAGGTATTTATAAAGTATTTATAAGATTTTAGATACATAGAAATGTAGTTTGTGTATGTTTTAATAATGTTACATACATATTTAGGTAAATCTTATATTTTTAAGAGCATTTTTTATAAAGTTTTAAAGAATGGGCATTTTTGAAAAGGGGCATTGAAAAAGGGGCATTTTTGCAAAAGCCCCTTTATTGTAAAACCGTCTTTTTTATGAATAAATTTTAAATTCATACAAAAAAACAAAAATTCATAATGGCTAATTTTTTTACAATCTTAGTACAAAATTTACACTAAATATATCTTAAATTTTTAATTATTTTTTTTAATAAGACAACAAATATATTTACAATATGAAAAAAAAAAATAGATCTTGTGACCTAAACAACATATTTTTTGTTCTGTTTGTTCTCTTTAAGCATCCATTAATCAAATCGTAAAACCCAGAGAAGGCTGGTAAGGCCCAATAAAGGCCCAAATAGAAGACTTTCCTCTCCATCCGCCCATTCCTCTGGTCGAAAGCTTTCCACGGTTCCGATTCTCCGAATGGATAATGTAACCGTTTAGCTCTCTCTTCCCCTTCTCTCTTTACACTTCCATAACTCTCACGGCCATGAGCTTGGCTTCGATTTCCTCGTCGCCGCCGGTGGCTTCGCCGTACTTCCGCTGCCGAGCTTACATCTTCTCCTTCGCGTCTTCACCTCTATGTTTATATTTCCCGCGCGGTGACTCAACTTCCCTCAAGCCACGAGTTCGCGCCTTGCGAACGGAATCTGACGGCGCTAGGATTGGTAACACGGAGTCATACGGCTCGGAATTGCTTCGTCGGCCGCGTATTGCGTCGGAGGAAAGCTCTGAAGAGGAGGAGGAAGAGGAAGAGACTGGTGAAGGTGATGAGTTCGTTGATTGGGAAGATAAAATCCTTGAGGTTACTGTTCCTCTTGTTGGCTTCGTCAGGATGATTCTTCACTCTGGAAAGTAAGTTTTTTTGTATCTCAATTCTTACGATCAAAATCACTACTCTGTTGCTACTGAGTAAGCTTTAAGCATTTAGAAGACAGTTGATTTCAGAATTTAACAATTGTTAGTCTAATTGAGTGTTTATTGGTTGATATGATCATGTAATGGGAGCTCAAGAGTCTAGAAGCATTTTCTTGAGTTGCTTTATTGATAAGTCTAAAGATATTTGTTGCTTTCATTATGGATTAGATGTGAAATTGCAAAGAAGATTTGTGAATGTTGTACTTGTATATTCATCTGTTTTATAGAGATTCATGGGGAGTATTTTTGATTCATTGGTAGCTCTGTGTGACATTTTATATTGCAGATATGCAAACCGAGATAGGCTAAGCCCAGAGCATGAGAGAACGATTGTTGAGATGCTGCTTCCTTATCATCCTGAGTTTGAGAAGAAGATTGGATGTGGTATAGACTATATCATGGTATGTAATCGTGCTTTCGCGATTTGGAATCATCATGAATGTTTTGCTAAGTGGAACTATTGATTCTTGTGGTTATCATGTCTGAAAATTGATTTGACATTGTTTTCCTATGGAGTACTTGGGATGGATTTATATTTTCTTTTTCGGTTTGTTTGTCTGCAATTTCAATCTGTATTTGTCTCCGCGAAGACTGCGTTTCTTTGTTTTCCGCATTCTTCATAGTGGAAACAAGTCATTTATGTGAAACTGTTTTTGAACAAGCTGATCAACAGTTTGTTTTTCGTTAGTATGATCAACATAGATTTTCATGTTTTACAAGTCAAGATAGAAATGAATTAAGGAGAAGAGATATGCTTCCTTACAGATTGATTTTACCTGCAAACCAGTAGTTAGAACTGCGCATCAACTAATAATATCTTGATTGGTTCGGTTTGTTGCTGCAGGTTGGGCATCACCCAGATTTTGAGAGCTCTCGATGTATGTTTATAGTTCGAAAAGATGGAGAAGTAGTTGACTTTTCGTATTGGAAATGCATAAAAGGTCTAATAAAAAAGAAGTATCCTCTGTACGCAGACAGTTTCATCCTCAGACATTTTCGCAAACGTAGGCAGAACAGATGAATGAAGCTTATGTAGATTCTCAAACTCAAACGCTCGTAGACTCGGATCCTCGTCTCCCAACTACATCCTAAAAGGTTTTGGAGTGAGAACTCAAAGACAGAAGATTCAGTCACTATTTTTCTTTGAGTTGGAATTACGAATGGAACTTTCTAGAAAATATGGTTTCCGCAGGAGATATGAAGAATTAGAACCATCAGAAATATTAATATGTTCATTATCTTTAATCTTTAGCGTTTATATGTTGAATCTGTTACATTGAACTTATGTGCAGAGGTAGAGAAAACCAGTACACACTTGTGTGCAGGGCTTGGATTCAGATGCAGTTTTCTTCTGAAAGTGTTTTTGGTTTTGCTTTCACATTTACTTATTACTGTTGTGTGATGTTTGGTACGACTTAGGCACTGTAGTTTCGTTACTCAAAGTTGGAATTTTTACATTTTTAGTTTATATCCAAATTTTCAAATACGCAAGTTTAAAGTCCAAATTAGCCTTGGCCATTATAACTTTACAGAAAATTTTGAACCTAAGATTTGGTCAATTCGGAGAAAATGATTTGCTTAAGTTGAAATTATACTCGGTTCTTTCTTACTACCAAAATCTCTAGAGACATAAACATATAGGATATAGCAAAGGCTTAAAACCATAGTTCTTACCAATCAACTCATTAGTTCGTGTATTAAAAAAAAATCTAAATTATATTAGTTACAGGCTTTAAAACTTAATATTGTAAGCTTCTGTTTGAACAAAAAAAAAAATATTGTAAGCTTCTGTTTATTGGATTATGGTAGATGCAGATGTAAAACTTTCGAATTTGTTAGTTAGGCTCTGATTGGTGGTTTTGAAAATAGAAAAAAAAAATGTAGAAAAGAGATGATTATTAAAAAAAAGTTAGAAAATAAACTAATGGAGTAATTTATTTTTACTCTAATCAAAACCAAAGTAAAATTGAGTGTATAGTTCTTTCTCTCTCTACTCTAATAACTAGAATAATTTTAGGTCTAGAGTAAATTATTATTCTATAAGAGACAACTAGTTAAAACCTAAGTTTTATATAAAATAATTAATTATTTTGTATTTTAAACGAATCAACACAATAAAAACACTAAGGATCTCTCCAGGCATGACACATCAGCATTTTGGAGTGTTCTGGGTATGACACATTATTAAAATCGTCAGCCAATAAAAATATTTTAATTAATACAGCTCAGATTTCTTGGCCAGTAATATTTGTTCTTTGCTCCATGTCATTTAAAGTTTATCTCATTTGGGCTTATTGTTTGAAAATAAGTGGGCTTATTATTATTCAGAAATGGGCTTTAGTATTGATTGACTCATACAAATTATATTCTCTCCTGCATCTTTCTTTTTCTCGATTTCAATTTTTCATAGAGTAAAGACGAAGACGAGAATGAGTAACTCGATCAGGTCAATCCTTTAATTCGATCAATCGATAGGAGATTTTGATTAGAGAATTAAAAAGTTTGAAACTGGTAGATCGCAGCTATGTCTTACTCCGATTCGTCGTCTCAGGCTCGCGAGAGCCCGAATGGGACTTAATCAGAGCTCATGTCCAGAAACGAGGATATACTTTGCAAATTAATCTCCTTCTCCTTAGTTAGCCTTAACTAATCTTCTTCTCCTTAATTATGTATCTCTTCTTCTCTTTAATTAAGTATATATATAGGCTATTGAAGGAATTTCATACATTGGTTCCTTGTTATTTTGGATCCCAAGTTTGAACAGTTTGTTATTTTCCATCTTTGTAATCATTCATACTAAGTTTGATTTTGAGTATGGCTTGACAGTATGAGGTAAGGTTCTTTATTTGATTCAGTTTTTTATTTGGAAAAGTTTGGTTCGGTTCACAAATATTGTAGCCAAAGTTAAGCTGAATTTTTTATTTAATTTGTAATTTCAGTTAATATTCAACAATTTTGGTACATTTCACTTAACAAACTACAGTTTAGACAATGAAATGTTCTAGAGATCGGATATATAAGTCGAATTCGAGTAAAAGGCATTCACCGCATGGCTCATGCATTGTGTTCCCTCATAGAGCCACTTGGTATCAAAAGACTTCTTCTGTTAAGTGTTTGATTTAACAAAGTTTTCAACAATATGATTTAACTATTATAAAATATATAATTTATCCAAAAATATACCCCGCAGTGTAGTGCGGGTTTCGTCCTAATCATATTAATTAATATACTTTTGAAGAAATTTTTGCAAGCAAATTCAAAACTTATCAAACTATAAATTATACTAGAGTCAATGATGTACTTTAAAAGAAAAACACTACTATAATTAGTGAATTGAGAGTATTATTGTCCTTGTATTAATTTTTAAACTTAAAAAACTATAATGTGGGTTTGATAATGGTGAAGTGAACCCAACTAAAAACAAGAGACGTGGACCAATGAAAAGAAATAAGAAGACTCTTTGGTTTCTGACATGTTCCCACAAACAAAGTCGATGTGAAAGCAAATAATGTCCGTCCACGTTACATCGACGATCAACGGCTGAGATTTGGTTTCATACTTCTCTGTCTCATCGAGGTTGGTTCGTGTTTTGTTATTGTTGGTTTGGACAATGATTGAGCGACACGTTATTTCGTTACAACTACTTTTTTTTTTTTTTTGAACTTTTGTAATCAGAAGACTAAAGAAGTAAGTGGACCGATCATAAATAACAAAACTCAAGTGATTGATTATTGGGACCTTTTGTCACTTCAGGATAGAGGAGCGTTTTCAATTCAACGGTGAACAAAATATTAACTGATTTTTTTCTTTTTTGAAAGAGAAATAAATAGATGTAAATCGGTTAAGTAGCACCCTTGTTTGAAAAATCGCTAGGCGCTAGTCGGGCGCTCGGCATGGGCCTAGCGATTAATCGGAAAATCGGATTAAAATCGGGGATTAATCGGGGATTAGTTTTAGGGTTATTTTAATATTTTTAAAATATATTAATCCAATATTGTAAAAATTTATGATTTTTATTACAAATTTATGATTTTTATTAAAATTTGAACACAAGTTATTGTAAAACATCACAAACTCTCCATTCAAATGATTGAATAACAAAAATAAAAAGTTTTTTTATACTTGCAATCTAAAAAATAATCGGGGTATATAAGATTAGGCGGAAAGTAATCGGATTAGGCGGAGAATAATCGGGTTACTGATTTTTTAGGGGATTAGTCATTAATCGAGGCGGATAAGGTGGGCCTAGCGATTAAGCGGTGAGTAATCGGGGTTAGGCGGGGATTTTTAGAACAGGGAGTAGCACAATTGTTAGGAATGAAATTATTATCTCGAATTCGATATCAAAAATCAGTTTTGATTCTTTCCGAAAATCCAGATATTCAGAATGTTTGGATCTAAATTCGAATAGTAAAATATTGGATCCGTCCAAGTTAAATTTGGATTTAGATATCAAATAGTATTTTTTTTTTAATTGTCGGATATCATAATATTTAGATTAGGATATCCAAATTTGCCAAATATATTATTTTCACATTTTTTTTCACTAGAAAGATAGATTTTATGTGGAAATCCCATTGGCCCATTAATTGACTAATATTGCGATTCCCAGAGGTGGAATACAAAAAATTTATTAAAAAATTTGCAGATTAATGGAGGCAAGTGTGCAAGAGATCTCCAGCGATGTACAATTAATAATTTGCAATTAATAATAAATTTAGACAAAAAAAAAAAGAAAGATAGATTTCATAGATAAACATGGAATACAAAAGCCGGCAAGGGACAAACCCTTCCATAGTCTAAGCCGGCGAGTACATGAAAACTCCCAGAGACAAAGATCAAACTAAAGAGAAACTTTAGGGGAAAAAACCCGAACCAACTAAATACAAAACATCCGAACAAAAAACTTCCCGGATTCATAATCCAAAGACTCAAATTAAACTTACAAAGCCTAAATCAAAATTAAATAACAGATCTGAGACTAGAAGACTCTCCTTACCTCAACCTAAACTCGATGGAATGAGAGTCACTTGTAGGAATGAAGGAGATCGAGATCTTCAAGGTGGAATTTCAAAGTCTGAGGCGAAGAAGGATCAGATCGAACCTGCACCTTTGCCATGGATGGATCCGCCATATCTGAGGCTAAGCGTGGAGGAGAACAAAAGACAAGCCGCGAGAACCCAAAGGAAGAAGATTTAGACTTTATAAATTTAGATCTGAAAATCTAGATGTGAAACGTTGGAAGAAAAGAAGCTTGGATGCGCCGTTAGAGAAAGGGAAACGAAACTAAAACATGGAACAAAGAAAAAAACCCCGGTTCCGGTGCTGAAAAAGCCACCAGAACCAGTAACCCTCGATGGAGGGCGGCGGTTGCGAGAGTTTTTAGAAAGAAGGCAGATAGATTTTTTTTTAGAGAGAGAGAACTTTTTGAGATATTTTTAGGGATGATATTATTTTAACATATAATATGTAATTTCAAATATTATAACGTATATTACAATATTTTCATTTCTTTTGTAATATATGATACTTTATTTCCTAAAAGATAATCAAAAATTAAATTTTATAATTTAAAAATATTTTAATATTTTAATTCATTCTATAAATCCTAATTTCACTTATTGGTTCTTTTTCTTTTGAAATTAGGAAAAAAAAAAATTAAAGAGTAAAAGTGACGCTCTCAAGGTTGTATTTCATCAAGTATTTTACCATGGTGTTATTAATAAAAATTCTGACAAAAAAAAAATTGTGAAAGTGACGCAAAATACAACAAGTATATACCATTTTTTAATTAAAATAATTAGTAAATGTAGTATTTATTGAAATGGTTAGGAGACAGAGAGACACTTGGCTCAGCAGACAAAGTACCTAATCACCCAAACGAAGAACCAGACATTTTGGGCAAATACGAAGCACACGAATTTAGCCTAAAGGTAATGGGAAAAAACCCGAAAAAACCGTCATTTTTTTTTTTTTGGCCGTTTAATACCCGTGTTATTAAATTTGGAATAAAAAGGCCTCGTTTAATTATTGTTGTCTTTTAAATTCTTCGTTTTTTTAATTTTGGTAGATTCTGACCTCCGCGTTAACGGCCGTTAACGATGGTAACGGAATCGCTAACTGCAGCGAAAACTTAACCCCATGGTGTTTTCGTATATATATACAATTTATGTTTGTATCTTTACGAATGTAGTGTCTTAGTAAGGTGGTTATACGTGGGTTGTATTTAGACTCGTGCAGGAGTTCGATTGACCACACAACTCTTTTAGATTTTTTTTTTTTTTTTTTTTTTTTTGACTTCGTCTTCTTCAAACTATCTCTGTTCTCTCTTGTAACTCCAGATTGAAATTGAGAAGCCGTATAGTACCCAAGATCTCTCCTGTAACCCCAGATTTTCTTATTGAAATTGAGAAGCCGTATATATAGTGGCCAAACCCTAGATCTCTTTGTTCTCTCCTGTAACCTCAGATCTAGGGTTATTGAAATTGAGTAGTGGAATTGAAATTGAGAAGTAAAGATCTAGGGTTTATCCACTTTGTAAAATTTGGGGAATTCAGTAATCAATTCATGTAATAGAAGCTGAAACGATGTTAAGGTGAACAAAAACATGGAGTGGCTTCGTTACGGTTTGATGTGTGCATAAAGAAGTAGGTTAATATGGAGATTAACAGGATTGGGAAGATTGACTATGCTACTACTCCAATCTTTCCCTTTTTCCTCTTTAACCAAGAATGCTCTATTTGATAAGCATGGTTCTGAGACGAGATAGGATCCAAAGAAGTTTGCTGCACTTTTGTTTTTAATTGAATTAGGTTGAAGACGAAGTCAAATTAAGGAGAAAAAAAAAAAACTAAAAGAGTTGGAGGTGGATCGAACTCGGCACATGAGTGTAAAATCAACCCATGTATCACCACCTGACAAAGACAATACAATCGTAAACTTACGAACATAAATTGTATATATATACGAAAACACAATGGGTTAAGTTTTAACTACAGTTAGCGATTCCGTTACCATCGTTAACTGCCGTTAACGCGGAGGTAAGAATCTACCAAAATTTAAAAAACAAAGAATTTAAAAGATAACAATAATTAAACGAAGCTTTTTTATTCCAAATTTAATAACACATGTATTAAACGGCAAAAATAAAAAATAAATAGCGGTTTTTTCGGGTTTTTTCCCTAAAGGTAATAGATTTTTATCCTCGTCCTGATATTTTTCTTCTCTCTGTGTGTGTAGAAGAAACTGTGGATATTGCTCATCTTCTTTTTAATTCTTCCCATTTATGTCCATACTTAATTTTTGGATAAGTTACTAATTTTGCCTAATACTTCTCATAAACGCATTTATATCCTCCTGTTCGTTGTATCTGATTTTATCCACTTGACTAACATTTTGGAACTTTGTTAATGTATCTGCTTTTTAAGGGTTCTGATACTAAAGTTTGGATTTTTAAACTAAAGTTTGGATTTTTTTTTTGTATTCATGACCATTTTCAGATCCAGTAATAGCTGAGATTATTGGAAAAAAAATGGATGGTAATATGAATTTCAAGAACAACAATTTGGGAAATGAGCCACCAGGAGATGGTGGTGGTGGAGGAGGGTTGACTAGACAAGGTTCTATATACTCGTTGACGTTTGATGAGTTTCAGAGAAGTTTAGGGAAAGATTTTGGGTCAATGAACATGGATGAGTTGTTAAAGAACATATGGAGTGCTGAAGAAACACAAGCCATGGCTAGTGGTGTGGTTCCAGTTGTTGGTGGAGGTCAAGAGGGTTTGCAGTTGCAGAGGCAAGGCTCGTTGACTCTGCCTCGAACGCTTAGTCAGAAGACAGTTGATCAAGTTTGGAAAGATCTATCTAAAGTTGGAAATAGTAGAGGAGAAGGAACAAACTTGTCTCAGGTGGCTCAGGCTCAGAGTCAGAGTCAGGGTCAGAGGCAACAAACGTTAGGTGAAGTAACTCTGGAAGAGTTTTTGGTTCGTGCAGGTGTTGTGAGAGAGGAAGCTCAGATTGCTGAGAATAATAAAGGTGGTTACTTTGGTAATGATGCTAACACGGGTTTCTCTGTCGAGTTTCAGCAGCCTTCTCCACGAGTTGTTGCAGCCGGTGTAAGGGGAAAACTTGGTGCAGAGACTGCGAATCATTTACAGGTTCAAGGTTCTAGTTTGCCTCTGAATGTAAATGGAGCTAGATCAACATACCAGCAGCCGCAACAGCAACAACCAATCATGCCTAAGCAGCCTGGTTTTGGTTATGGCACACAAATGGGTCAGCTTAATAGTCCTGGGATAAGAGGTGTGGGTCGTATGGGACTTGGAGATCAGTCTTTAACGAACAATATGGGATTGGTCCAAGGTGCTGCTGCTGCAATTCCTGGAGCTTTGGGCGTTGGTGCTGTATCTCCTGTTACACCATTGTCATCAGAGGGGATAGGGAAGAGTAATGGTGATTCTTCATCGCTCTCTCCGTCTCCTTACATGTTTAATGGTGGTGTGAGAGGCAGAAAGAGTGGGACTGTGGAGAAAGTTGTAGAGAGAAGGCAAAGGAGAATGATAAAGAATCGAGAATCAGCTGCAAGGTCACGGGCCAGGAAACAGGTTAATCTCTTCATCACCATCTATCTATGTGCTCTTGATTGTGTTATAAGCCAAAAGGCTTGGAAAGTAAATCGGTTAGCTTATCTTGTGGTTAGGTTCATTAACTACAATGAAGTGTTGAATTCAAAGCGTAAAGTGTCTTGTGTGAAATAGTGTTGTAAACAGAACTATTGGGACTTGAAATAAGTACTTGTGTGTTCTTGTGGTTGAATGAATCTCGGAAACAAATATGAACCTTCTGGTTTTGGTGTATATACATGTTTCCCATCCGCAGATGTTCATGGCAGACCAAACCATATACTGGAATGTAATTTGCTAATTGTCTTGAGGTGGCTCAGAGGTTAACCGAAACGTTAAAACCTGTTACATCTGAGATTTACTGTGACCAAACTGTTGAGTTCTACATTTGGGGGTCTAAATGTTTTGAATGGCACTCTAGTATATCTCATAAGCTTCTCAGTAGTACTTGTTTTGCTTTGTAGGCTTATACCGTGGAGCTTGAAGCTGAAGTTGCAAAGTTAAAGGAAGAGAATGACGAGTTACAACGAAAGCAGGTAATCACATAAGTCATAACCATGCCTTGGCATCACAATTACTTATATGCTACATTCATTTCCTTTAGTTTCTCATTGTACAGCTCGTGTTTTTACAGGCAAGGATCATGGAAATGCAAAAGAATCAGGTAATAATTCTTATTCCATTGTAACACTAAAAACTCATAGCTCTATTTGACACCAAAATCTCTAAACTACATTTTCATAGCTGAACTTGTAAACTCGTGTTTTTTTTGTTTCCGTGCTACGTATGAAACAGGAGATGGAGATGAGGAATCTTCTGCAAGGAGGTCCAAAGAAAAAGCTGAGAAGGACAGAGTCAGGACCTTGGTGAATCAATCAGTGCTCATACTTAGTTTCTGTAGATAAAATCACATCCCACTTAGGTGTTTAGTTGAAGAAGACATAATAGATAAGAGCTTTCATCGTTTATATTGTAAGCTCTCTCCATATACTGGAAAAACGGTCTATTTCCACACGAGAAGTATCGCATCATAACAGATAGAGCCCAAACTTTAACTACGGTCCATATGTCCCTAAAAAAAATTTTTTATATCTATTTCTCCATGAAACGTAAGTTCAATAGCTAAATCTCCCCGAATTAATACGTCGAGATCTATTATCCCACATACTTGGGTTTCATCGGTTATTGTTTACTTAACCGTATATAACCAAAGAAAACCTGATTTTGACCCGATTAAAACACAAAACCCAATCTTCTTCTCTTCTTCACTCGATTTCAGAATCTGGGTTTGTTTTTGTCAAAATTGGAATAAAGAAGAGGCACATCTCTTCATGTCGTTTTGTTTCAAGTCTATATAAAGACCCTGTGTTTGTTTTGTAATATTCAGATTTTAAATTAAAGAAGTTTTAGTTTACATAACTCTGTGTTTGTCTCTCTCGTCTAAAGCCTCTTGTTTTTTTTTTTTAATTATCAAAGTTCTTCAATAATTCAACAACACAATCATAATCTGATAGCTAAAGAAATACAAACCAATAATCTCATAATAATCTGCTCATAAACCAACAAATCTCATGTTGCTCCATGGAAACTTCGTTGTTCCCGCCGCCGTCGCCCCAACACCAATTTTCGTCGAAGAATCAGCTCTTACACCACCACCACGACCTTTAACTTTACCATAACCCCCGATTTCCCTCTTCTCCTTGCGATCAAACCAATGATGATACTTGATATCAAAGAAGCGATTATGAATACTTGCATCCGAGATCGTTTGGTTAATCTCATCAATCTCAGAAATCGTCATGGAGAAGAAGAGAGATTAATCAAAGCTCAATTATCAATATCGAAGACCCCATTGAATTCATCAACCAAAATTTAGTCTAATTGGTATTGTTTTTAAACGAAGTGATCCAAGTGCTGTCACATTCGTGGTGAAGAAGAAGAAGTTGAATCGGGTCATTAATGGGTCGGTCGGGTTAGGGTTAATTTTTGATAATTTTGGTTTTGTTTTGGTTAAAGTTTGTTTTAAAATGGTTAAGACTGAATTGGTGTACATTAAACCGACAAAACCGAGATATGTGGGTTAATAGATCTCGAAGTATTAATTCGGGGAGATTTAGCTATTGAACTTACGTTTCGGGGAGAAATAGATATAGAACTTTTTTTTCAGAGACATATGGACCGTAGTTAAAGTTTGGGCTCTATCTGTTATGATGCGATACTTCTCGTGGGGAAATAGACTGTTTTTCCCCATATACTGTATGTTATGTTGTATACATACACAGGATCATCAGAATCACTTTTGCTTTCATTAGACCAAGATTTTGTGTGTGTTTTCTCGTTGTTGTATGTCGCTATACAACCTCGAAATGCAGTTCCTTGATCTTGGAAATACCAATTTGACATAACACCGAAGAATTGAAGTGTTTGTTTGGTTTCTCTTGAGTGCCAAAACTATGACCTGTGCCAACACAACAATCTAGGCTAGCGCCGACTATATCCTGAACCGAACCTTGGTCATTTCGGTTCGGGGTCAGTTAGTACAGTGGGACCGATCGGCATGATTTTCAGATGGGTTCGGTTTGATGTGGTTCACTGAACCGAACAGTTACCCAAAGTAAAACTGATTATACAGAAATTTGTGAAAGTATGTACTTCCTCTAAAATCAATAACCAAACCAAACCAAACCGGATCAAATATTTGTACGGATTATAAATTACATAACCGATGACCGAACCAAACCGAGTTATTCGGTCTGATTTCTTTAGTTGCTAAAAATGAAAGTTTCACTCCTTTACACTCTCATTCTCTCTCGCTTCCTCGCTCAAATTCTCCCCTAATTTCACCTGCAAAACTCTAGTTTCGTCTCGTCTCCGGTCAGAAATCAAACACGATTCTTAAGGTATTTCGTCTTACCCAACTCTATCTTTCCATTTTTTCCGAGAAACAAAATGTTGATCATGAATAACGCCGCTGTCTCTGTAATGGGTTTATTGTAATGTTCCAAAATATATTATTTGAAAGTTAGGACATTTCGATGTAGCTTGTGTTTCTACTGCTTTTGATTTTGTAGAAACGACCAGAAAAATTGTTTCTTTCTTTCTATAGAACATTTCGATATAGCTTGTATTACTATTGCTTTGTCTCTCTTGTTACGTTGCTTGGGAGTTTTAGCACAAGTTTCATTGTTTTCTTTTTATAGTGTTCCAAGCTTTTTTTTTTTTTTTTTTTGTCTAGGTTCCTTTGAGTTTGAATTTTAAGGTGTTTTTTTTGCTTTATCTCTGCTGTTACTGTTGAAAGTTTTATGGAAACGAGCACAAGTTTTAACATTGTTGTCTTCTTTATAGTGTTCCTAGCTTTTTGTTGTTCTTGTTATTGCATAGGATTGAAAACTGATCACTCTTGAGTTGCCTTTCTTTGTTTGATTTTGAACCCAAAGACTGGAAACTGATATTTTTCTCTTCCATTTTCTTCAGAAACCAAAGAGAAGATAGAAATGGCGCCCAAAGGAAGAAAAAGGGTAAGCTTTATTGTTACATATAGGATTGAATAGATCAATGTGGTTTGGGACTTGGGTTTCATACTTATGTAAGCTTTACTGTTACATAGAGGATTGAACAGAACAGTGTGGTGGGGGTTTGGGACTTGGGATAATAGACAATGCACTAGGTTTGTTTTGTTTGTTCTTGGATCTCTCGTTTGTTTCAGTTGATTCTCAATGAGAAATAGAAATCTGTTTGATGAGTGTTCTTCATTCTTCTATGATTTTTCTCTCTTTTATAGGTTTTTAATTTGCTATTTTTTTTCTCCCTTGTTTTGCAAGCAGATTGGATTGAGGCGTCAGGATGCAGCACGAGACCGCATGAAAGAGTTTGGGTTTGATAAGCGTGTTATCAATGAGAGTATCAAGCAAGTGCTAAAGGTCTTCAATTTCCCATTCGTTGAATTTTTTTTCTTTGAAACTTGATGTGACACGCTTAACTCAATTTGGATTTCAGGTGTACGGTGAGGACCAATGGTTTCTGATTGAAGATGCTAACTATGATGCCCTCCTTAATATTTGCCTTGAAAAGAAAGAGGAACAAGACAACCAATTGGCGGCCGAGGAACACAAAGAAACAGCTCAGGAAGAAGAAGAAGAAGAAGAAAAGGTGATTTGTTCATCTTGGTTACAAATTTGTTGCTTTTCATTGTTGGGATTAGTTTTGCTTCCATGATCAGAGACTATTGACTGGTTTCTTGAACCTATATGCTACTTAACTTGCAATATGATCATCCTTTGCATTGCACTACAGAAGGCTGATGCGTTATTGATCACTAACGAAGCAGTCATGAACTCATCACCACCAGCTTTTCAATTCGTAGAAGCACCAGTAGATTTTGCACACCAGTCTGTTGGAGGTATACTCATCTCTATAACAGTCTCAAAGCGTAAAACATTCTTTTACTGAGGTAAAAATCATTCTTTAGGTGCCCACAGTTCTCACTGTGGATGGCTAAGCAGTGAAGAGGAGACAGATCCGGATGAGGATGAGGATAGTGATGAGATGATTGAGCTAACTCCAGAACCTCTCTGTGAAGAACTTGAAGAGCTTCTTAGGGAAGTATATGGACAAAAGAAGATGAAGTACAACTAATGGATTCATAAGCTCCTGTAACTAAAATTGATATATATATATAGTTAAGGAACTAAGAAGTATAGTAAAATAAAGAGTAAGCTTGTAGCATTGGGAGTATAATTTAAACTTTTCCAAAAGTCCAAACTCCAAACTAATTCCATCCCAAAGAAAACCGAAACTGGATCAAATCTGAAGTTGGTTTAATTGGAATATTCCTTGTATATGTTTTTAAAATTTTATGCCATTTTGGCAAAGAATATTTTATCAAAATTTGACTCTTAATGCATATATTTTCATTATTCCTGGGCATTCGGTTATCAGTTCGGTTCCATTCGGTTTCCGTTCTAAAATTTAGTATCCATTCAAGTGTTTTGAAATTTTAGTTCGGTTTCGGTTCTTTCGGTTTTAAAATTTAGTATCCATTCGGTTATTTTGCTTTGGATATTTTTGGATATTTCGGTACAGTTCTTTCGGTTATTTTTAAATTTTCGATTTAATGTATTTTTGCTTCGGTTTCAGTTCGGTACATTCGGTTCGGTTTATTTGTCCAGTCCTATATTTCATAAACAAATTATTTGCGAAACTTAGCAATGGATTTGGCGGGGGACTCGGGAAAATATATGTAGCGTAAGAAGAGGAAATCAAGAGTGCCCATAGTTTTCATTGAATCGCACAGACTCTCTTCTCTCGCTCGTCATCATCGTTATTCCAATGATTCGCCGACCCAAAAGAGCGTTCTTTTGTTACTCGATTTGTCATGACGTATGCCTACCACATGTTCGACGAAATTCCTGAACCAGCTTTCTTGTCTCAAAACTATGTGATTGGATCCACCTGAAATGGGAAATGATTCAAGACTTCATTCTTAGAGATCGATGAATGCGTTTCTTTCACTAAAGTGGGTAAGTATCTTCATTCTTCGCTCTTTCTACTTCATTCTGCTTTATAGTTGCCTCGTCTCGTAAGGCACAAAAAGTAGACCTTTTCTTTATAGTTTTAGTGATGCTTGAAACTGTTATTATTGTAAGGAAAATCTATGAACAAAGCTCGATTTGCATATTTACCTCTATTTGAATGTAGTTTATGACAAATTAGTAACCAAAGACTTGGCCTATCATTATATGAAGTTGTTCTGAGCTGCCATTTGGACCAATATCTCCCAGAAAAAAAAAGTCAAAGGGGCATTCCGAGAATCGAACTCGGGACCTCTCGCACCCAAAGCGAGAATCATACCACTAGACCAAATGCCCTGTTGTTGATATAAATCATTCAATGCACAACTGTTGTTGTTAGTTGGACACCAGTTTAAGGATGTGCTTCTTTTTTTTTCTTCCTGCAGGTGTCTCTTGAAGATAGCGTTCAGCTAGTGACGTTCTCTGTTCATTCCGTTATCGAGAAACTGTTTTCTTGCTGCATAATGCAAGTCACTGGACGTCAAAGGCAAGGTACAATGCTATTCTCATTCTATTTGTTAAACCTCAGTACCAAACAGGTGTCATGGGAAATTGTGTTCTCATTTATTCCCTAAAATTGGTGAGAAAATGCACTAAAGAACATGTTTGTGCCACGATAGTTCTCAGCTATTATTTATATCAGACATCCAAAAAAGTCAATGGGGCATTCCGAGAATCGAACTCGGGACCTCTCGCACCCAAAGCGAGAATCATACCACTAGACCAAATGCCCTGTTGCTAAGCAATGTAGTTTAAGCACTGAAGATCACCATATTTGGTCATATTTCTCTAAGTTGACTTTTACTTAAATATTTAGTATGAATAGGATGTTCCTAGATCTATTCTATGAATCTCTTTCTATTCAGTCCAGTGATGTGATCTTTAGAATGAAAATTTCTGGTTTGCAAGGTAATCTGGATGGAAGTGCTCCAGAAATATATTGATCTAATTGTTTAAACCTCTTTCACAAAAAGTCATTACATTTTTCCATTGGCTTTCTTTTTTTTTTTTGTATGAAAAAAGATTTCCGGAGTTAAATTCGGGGGATAAATAATAATGTTGACCATTTGAAGGATCATTTGAAAGCTTTCCAGTAGTTTGATTCATTATGATCTGGTTTTTTCTTGACTTGATTATACAATATACCACTATTGCCAATTCTTGGTTATTAACCAGTACCCTAGATCTATTCCCAATCGTCCTACATTTTTTTGAAATGGTTTTATGATCTTGTTTGTCTGAACATTTGACTTATCATACCGCTATACTAAATTCTTGGTTATTGACTTCTTGTATTAAGATCTGAGAGACAGAGAGAGTACTGCCGGATTTGTACTATAGCTTGTTTTTTTGGCTTTGTACTGTCTATAGCCAGTTCCTGTTTCCTGATTTATAATTTCTTTCACTGGAAGCCTGGAACTGCATTTGAAATGGAGCAAAAAAAAAACATGTTTGGTCATGCAGATCTCAGTTTTGTTTGAACACACGCATTAGGAAAAATATCAACGGGGCATTCCGAGAATCGAACTCGGGACCTCTCGCACCCAAAGCGAGAATCATACCACTAGACCAAATGCCCTGATGTTTTGATTTAGGCAAAATAGCTCTTCTTAAAACATAATTCCTTTTTTCTTTTGTGTTTGCTGTATATATATTCATTTAGGCGTATTCTTTCATGTTCTTAAAACACATTGTTGAAATGCTGATTATGAATCCTCACAAATCAGCCACCAAATACAATTTTATATGCAATGATTCTGGGCTTGCATTTAGAACATATAGTTTTGAAAAAGTCAATGGGGCATTCCGAGAATCGAACTCGGGACCTCTCGCACCCAAAGCGAGAATCATACCACTAGACCAAATGCCCTGTTGCTAAGCAATTTAGTTTAATCATTGAAGATCACCATATTTGGTCATATTGTGGTCTCGTGCTCTAAGTTGACCTTTACTTATTGATTTAGTCTTGACAGGATGTTCCAGGATTTATATTCTATGAGATCTCTTTCAATTCAGTCCAATGGTATGACATTTAGCAAGTGGATTACTTGTTTGCAATGTACTCTGGATTGAAATAGAACGGAAATATATTGATCTGCAAAAAATCAGTAGAAGTGGATAGTCTTCTCATTTTTAATTAGCTTTTTATCACTCAGTTGAAAACCCTCCAGTAGTTCGATTCATTATGATCTCTTTTATCTTAACGTTAGACTTGATCATGCCGCTATCAAAGTTCTTGGTTATTGACTACGCTAGACAATATGCGAATAATTTTGGTGAAGCTTTAGGTAGATACACATAGTTGAAATGCTGAATGTAAGAAAAAATCAAGCACCAATTACAAATTTATATGCAAGAATTATGACCAGAATAAATACATGTGCTTTTGAAGATTGCTTAAAAGGTTTCAGTTTGCTGCTCAGCCTGTTCTTATTTCTCAAATTACTGTCTCATGTTTTCAGATTGAATCTGTGGTTGAAGAGATCAAAGTCAATGGATGTGAAAGCAAAACTTTGGTGTTAATCTCAAAAATCATTAAAATGGTAAGGATCTGGTAATTTGTTTGTTAAAATGTTTATATGCAACTACTGGCGTCTCTAATCTACTCCTGCTAAAATGCAAGGGGTCATTAATGTTCCATTGCTGAAGTTCATTGATTGATTTCAGAGACATTGTCACACCTGAGTAAAGGTACGTGACAGTTGAAACTTATTCTTTGGTTTGCCTTGCAACTCTTGATATTGAAAGTCCTAGCGAAATAGGGTGTTGTTAAAAACTTTCTGATTGTTTGTAAATCTGATCACTGAAATAACAAACACGAAAGGGTAGATTGATAGCTATAACAATTTTCAGCAAGATTTTAGAACAAAAGTTTCTGAAGAAATCAACGGGGCATTCCGAGAATTGAACTTGGGACCTCTCGCACCCTAAGCGAGAATCATACCACTAGACCAAATGCCCTTTTGTTAAAATGTTAAATAGTTTGGTCATATTTTTGATCTCGTTCTCTTGTTGACTTTTACTATATAAATAGCTTAGTCTTAGTAAGCTGTTCCTGGATCTGATCTATGAGACCTTTTTTAACTGAAATGATCATTTGTATTTTCGGTACAAAATAGATTTATAGTTTGTATGAATATACTCCAGTTAGATATTTGTCCAATTGTTCAAACCTCTTCCATAACAAATCAATCAGAAGAGGATAGTTTTCTCGTCCTACATTTTCTTGACTTAGCTTTATAATCTTGTTTGGCTAAACATTTGACTTGATCATACCGCTATACTAAATTCGTGGTTATTGACTAGTTTTGTTGAGACCTTAGAGAATACCGCTGGATCTATACTCTACTCTGTTTTTTGGATTTACACTCTAAAAAGCCAATGCTGTTTCCCGATTTATAATTTCTTTCTCTAGAACTGCATTGAAATGTTTGGTTTTGCAATGGATCCGAAAAAAGATCTCAGTTTCGGTTAAAAACATTTACTTTGAAAAATGTCAACGGGGCATTCCGAGAATCGAACTCGGGACCTCTCGCACCCAAAGCGAGAATCATACCACTAGACCAAATGCCCTGTTTCCATGCAATTTAGTTAAAATGCTGAAGATCACCGTATATGATCATATTATGATTTCGTTCTCTTAGTTGACTTCTCCTAAATATTTCAGCCTGCATGAATGTTCCTACAACTATTCTTTTTGTTTTGTTTTCTTTTATTTTTTGGTTTCCTTTATCATTAATCTTGCAAAAAAAAAAAAATACTAGTGTTCTGAGAGAGATCATTTTGCAGGCATTTGGTAAAACTAGTGTTCCTGAATCCTAATCATTTCAAAGAGACCTCTGCATCAAATGGGAGTGAACATATTGGTTTAGCCGTTTAGGGAAGCTAAGAAGCAAGAAGAACCAATGGACTAAGCAGTCAAATGGTTTCAAGCAGGTTTTCGAAGATTGGCAGGAATCAGAAACCTTCACTGCCGCTTTAGAGAAAGTTGAATTCTGGATTTTCTCTAGAATCGTTGAATCT